AAATATATATTTGAAACAGGTCATAAGACTGATCTTAATACGGGTGTATACTAACGTTTATTGAAGCCCAAGCCATACGAAAATTCTAACCCTCGTAATGTATTCCAAAATAGTTTGTTCTCACCTTAAACTTAAGCTTATTATCCAGAGTGACTGTTTTTACATTATTTACTTTCCTTGTCTTCTCTTACCCTCCATTTGTCTAGATGACGTTTTAATTTTGTATATAAATGTACTTTGCAAGTATATGCATGATCAGATTGTTCGAAATGTATTGCGCTAATATATCACATAATTCTGATAATCTTTGTTTTCTTATTACACTGTCAAAATTTACATAGTTGTTGAGTGCAAACTTTATAAAGGTAAAAGACAACAGCTTTTTCTTATAACTGACTGTACTTAAAAAATTAAATGGCAAGTTACTTCAATCATTTAAAAATCCCTAATAACATGTAACCATACATTTTAATCACTCACGTTTTATTGACTTGGTTCTGCTTCCCTTTATTTTTGTATAATCAAAAATAAAAAAATGTTTTTTCAGTGTTTTCAGCTGCTTTACTTTGATGTTTCAGACATTGTAGATGGAGAGGTAGTACTTTCATATCCTCTCAAAATATCTAGAAAATCTGATACCTTTGAATAAAATAATATGGTTTTTTATTCAGTAGTATAAAAATAATTGAGCATGCTTTCTCATAGGAATACTAAATCAGACTTGTAATCATGAACTTTGAAGATGGCCCCGGCATTTTCTGTGTTCAGTAGTAAGACGAAAGTTTGCTTTGAGGGGAGTGAAACAAAAAGTTCAGTATCCTCAAAATTGAGCCGCTAATTTTCATAAGGATTACCCAACGGGAGGATAGCAAAGAGCTAAGTTATCCGAAACTCCATCTTGCACGAATCAGTAAAACCGTTGAAGTAGAGAATGTCCTTCCGGCCAGTCACTTGCTGAAATCAGATGTGAGGAGTCTGCCTAATACACTATATTTTGAGTGCTATCTCATAAGGAACATTATTTTCTTATTTACTGATCTTTTTATTCATTTGGTAACACAGATTACCGTTTATTCTTATTCTGTATTCAAAAACACGCTCATTAAATAATTTACATGCTTTTTTTCCTTTATTATTTTTCTGTTTTTCTTTCTTAATTAAGGTCAACTCAATGTTCTTCTAAATTCTCCATAAACTGTCTGCATATGGTTAATATTATACAAACATTATTGAACCTTGTGTACAACTGTATTCCTGAAGAAAATGTGGTGTTTTTACGAAATAGTGGTTTTTTTGTACTCCATATCTATCTGATTTTGAATTCCATTCGTTTGTTCTCACCTGGTTCTACCTGACTAAAATTGCGTTATTTGAGGGATTTCTAGTTTTAATAATAATTCATATACTTCTAATTATCACATTGACGTCGCGATAGAGCTTGTGATGGAATAGTTGGACATAATTTCAAATTTTGATTGTCTTGAGCATTATATGGAAAGGTTTGAAATTTGGACTATGACCAAAGATGTTGAGGATGCTAATATTGTGGATCATTTCTTTACATTATTCGGAAAAGAAGAATACAGCTCATTGAAATCTTTATTATTCCCAGATAAGCCGATTTCACTTTCCCACACAACTCTCAAGGGACTACTACTAGATCATGTTAAGTGTACAAATTCCGAATGCAGTAAAGGAGGAACATTTCATAAAATGATTCATCAGGACATCGAAAATTCCATTACATCAATATGTCACACCAATCTGGTGCGTACTAAAGGTTATGAAGATAACAATTCATTGAGGAGTTGCGAAAAAGATCACGGAGATGAGCACACGTTCGGTCAATGTTTGTATTGTGGCAAGTTTCACTCATTTATTTCATATGTATTTCGTAATGCTAAGTGCTTTAGATGTGGTAAAATTGGACGCATACAAGCAAATTGTAATTATACTGTTCATATATTTGTAAGTAATGCCAAATTTCGTAATTCCAATCCTATTGAGTTGAGTGTTTCTAATGAGCATTCGTTCTTATACACGATTTCGAAAAGCATTATTAAGTCAAATAACAGTTTAGAATTAAATGAAGCTTTGCTAGTCTCGCATAAATGTGATTTTTCAATGAACTAATGATTCCTTTGTACATGTTGAATGCTAAATTTTGAATTCCAAATACAGTACATTCGCTCGTGCTTATCTAGTACTTCTTGATCCAATTGCGTTACTTCTGGGATTCTTAGTTCGTACTATAATTCAAATACTCCTTATTATCACAATGACTGTAAAGCTAAACTTCAGCTAAAATAAACATATGCTTTATGTGATATTTGTCCAGAAAGCTGGAGAGACCCTTATTGATAAAATAATTGAAGCAACACAAGGAATACAAGGGCATCAAAGGAAAGTCAAAATCATTATGAGAAAAAAAGCTTTTAGTCAATCAATTTCTTATTGGTTTTCACATGTTATTGCACCAAATATGGTTTTTTCTAACGATCCATATATTTCTTATGAAATTGATTATAAATCCAAGAGAAATATGTTGAATGAACGAAATCATGATCGAAAATCTTATGCCATGTATACAGATGCTGATTTTTTTAATGATCCATCATTCTTCAATCACATATATAATAAATTTGAGAAAAATATTTCAAAAGAACCAAATCCTGGTGATGTCATATCAAACATTGTTTGTCTTCATAATGCATTTATTTCCTGTGGGAAACTTGTCCAATACAGTGCACGAGTTTTAAATGAGCTAGAGTTTGATTACCATTAGGATGATTTCATATCAACTGTTGTTTATCCATATCATAAGGTCTTTTTTAGTGAATCCTCTTGTCAGCGTAAGAAATATGTTTTAAATGAAGCCATTTTATTTATAACTTAATGATATGAAAACCCAACATCATTTCGCGGGGGAAGATAGTGTTGGTAAATCTGTGGTTTAAATTCTAGATATCAGTGGTTTCAGTACACCACCGACATGTTGATCGTCTACAGTTCCAAGACCCAGGTGGGTCTGTTCCATTGTCAGTTGTTGATTTTAATACTAATGAGAATATTCGAGATCATACAGAGTCTATATTCAATAAATAGTCTAACAGACATACAATGAACTAAGGAGAAGACGTCCAATTGATTACAGAAATTTAGATTCAAATTTCAGTTGTGGTGGTTGTATGAACTAATTATTTTTTTATCCGAGGTATGACTGGTTTTGAATTTCAAATACAATACGTTCGTTTGTGCTCACCTGATTCTTTATGATTCAAGTTGCGTTGTTTTGAGGATTCCTAGTGTGAATAATGATCCAAATACTTCTGATCAAGGAAACATGAAACGTTTCCTTTACAACAATACCAATAAGCTGTTTGTAAATAATTATGCCAACATTCAAAAGGAATCTCACGAAACGTTTCTCTGGGGAAGAAATAGTGTTGTGCGAGGTGTTTCAGAAAACACGGACCCCGGTTATCCAGACTACGATATTGAAAATCGCAAGTTCATAAAGCCGTACTTGAAGTGTAAGGATAGATTGTTCCAACTTGTGATGTCCCAATGGCCTAACCAACAACGGTTGTAACGATATTGACATTTTGAGATGACTATATTTTCAAGCTGTCGCAAACAAAGTGTATCAGCAGGAGCTTCGTCTGTAGCTCAATGTGAACCTGAGCACTGACTTGGTGTATCAGAAATTTCAGCATCTAAAAAAAAACACTTCTCATAGATTAGATATTGTTCATCCTCATATACTGAAGGAAAAAGCTTCAGTCCTGGCAAAACCGCTTAGCGTGATGTTCTCATATTCGCTAAGCCGAGGCACCGTACCATAAAATATGAAGCTGGCGCACATCATGCCACCTTTCGAAGGAGCTCAACACTGATCCTTCACACTACATGCAGGTAGCACTTCTTTCAATACCCTTAACATTCATGGAGTACTTGATACACAGTGGATTATTTGATTACTTGTTATCCATAAGCTTTTTTTCATCCTAGCAGTACGGTTTCAGGAAGGGTCTCTTCTGTATAACCAAACTGTTGGCCACGATAGACACATGGACAACCACTCTTGAAGAAGAATTTTGATGTCATATACCTTGGCTTCTTAAAAGAGTTTGATAGGGTCGATCATATACGTCTTATCAATAAGCTCAAAAGGTAAGTTGTAAATTCACTAATAACAGATTGATTCACTTTATATCTGGATAACCTGAATTCCAGCGAAATGTCTGCAAACAACTTGATGAACTGCTATTTCAAGAGGATTTAAATCATCTTCATACTTGGTTGGATTACGGCGGAATTAATTACAACACCGTAAGGTTCGAAGTAGTTCATCTGAAATATGTTGTAGAGTACGCATTCAACTTATGTAACTCCCCTCTAAATGTAGCACAAGTTGAAAAAATACAGGAGTATTTGTACCCTCTGGTCTGAAGTATTACTCTAAATGAGACAAAAACGCCTTTTTTGCAAACCTTGCACTCTTAACGTTGAAGCGCATTTTCGTTCAGTTTAACTAACCACCTTTTCACTTAAACCTCAGCAGCTGTATTAGACCGCATTTAAAGTATGTAAATATAATGCTTACTTTCTCTCTAAAATCGAGTAATAATACGCTGGAGCGAACTCACAGGTGAGCCACGAAATCAGTCCGGTGACTCAAATTCAAACCAGATGAATATAGCCGCAAACCAATGAACCTCTACCCATTACAATGAATTATGAAGATGCCTTTTACTTTTAACGAATAGTCAAGGTCTTGAATTCTTTACCAGTTGAGGTGATCTAAGAGACTTCTCAGGAGTATTTGACAGGTAACTTGATATATTCTTAAGAAATGATCTATATTATTTTTCTTTTAATCGTTAACAATACGTAGGTTCTTACCCGGATACATCGCTGATCCTCTACTATTAGATAGGGAATCCTGTTGAGCGGAAACTTCCATTCTGTCCAAATTTGTTTGAACCATTGGAACATTTGGTACCGCTGCTTACAAGTGTCGCGCTACGGACACGGTAAGTAAAGGCTTGTGTTGTTTTGGTCGGGGACACTGGTCTCAGAGGATCTTGTTGATAATACTAAAAGTTGAGTTAAGGTGTACGCGTGGGGGTTCCTATTTTCTGTGGTACTGTTTGATTAGAAGTATTTTGAGCATAATTAATAGTCATCTAACAACGTTTGAGTCGGAAATAACTCATTCTCAGTTTCAGTTTGGGAAGGACAGGAGGCTCGATGGCCTATGTTAGTCCTGGCAATGGTGGTCTATCAGTTGATCCAACTTTCTTTTGAAAGAGTCGATGGAAGGAGCCCCAACCACGGGCTGAGGTAGTGAATCCCCTCGTTGATGATTCGATGGGAAAGTCGATAGTCAACTGACAAGTAATTTGTTCTCGGCTTATGAACTTTTTTGGAGTGTCCTCGTAAATTCTCTGTTTTGGGAGACAAGAAAAATAAGGGCATATCAGATGCAAATTTATCACTAAGCAATTTGTAGACTGTAATCAAGTCGCCTCTAGTTCTGCGATATGACAACGGAAAAAGGTTCAGCTTGGCCAGTCGAGCTTCGCTATTCCGGGAATCAGCTTAGTTGCCGTTTTCTGAACTTTTCCAGAAGCTCGCTGTCTTTTTTAAGCAGGGGCTAGCCTCAGTTCTGAATGTCTCGTCATTTATAATTATAGATTGTTCTGATTGTGGATGGTTCAATAAAGAGTTCAGCGTGACAGTAGCATGGTACAAATATACGTTGTCTGAGCATTTTATTCTTCAGACTAATCCAATAAAGATAGATTTGAGTTAGAAGATTGGGCTAGGAACAGAGTTACGGTTTTCATCACAAACTAACATATGCTATAATGCAGAAATGTTATTTTGCCACGTAGACGAATAATTTTAGCGGCAACACTCCAGCTGCTAAATACTTTGGTGTTCTTACTTACTTGAATCTCGCCAGGTTATCAATAAGATCCGTTCTTTATGATAGTGCTTCCTGAGGCCTAGAACCTCTTGGTATAGTAAATTCAGTGCTTCGTAAATCCGTCCTCAGTTATTCTCCATGGTGGTTTCCCCTTTGAGTGAATCTTGTAAGGCGTTTAATTCATTTCTAAGAGCTATCTTTGATTGAGTTTATCATTATCTTAAAGGAAGGCTGTGCAAAATTTTCGTAATGCTGTTTCTGCAGTTTTCCAGCTTCGGTTCCATCTTGGCAGCCACCGGACGGTAATCTGAAGCTGTCGGTTCATCAATTCTCTCACGTCCTCCATAGATCCGAATTTTCCATTTATGCAAATATGACCGACCTGGTTCTCTGTGGTGTGATCCAGTGGGACCTATGTAGCCTAGTGTATGTATCTGTGGGGTATGTAGTGCCACTTATAATTGTTTTGTTGAAGACACATAACTTTACAAATCTATCTTCATTTCTTTCTCGAAGTTCATGTCGTCCCATGGTGTTGTTAATTCCGACTAGCATCTAGGCCCCCCGTCAAGATGGTCAGGTCCTTTTCTGGGGATTTCTTACAATCGACAAATCAGACTCTACTTGGTACTAAGTTAGACATGACAAGTGTTGCACTGTTATTTGAACTTCAAACTTCAAGCATTTGCTGCGAAAACTCGACAAACACTAGTCTTCAGCTCATAGTCTTGCTTTAGTAATATGTTGAAGCTTTTCGCGTGAGATGTATAACATTTCTACTCAGGGAAATCAATTTGGGGGTCACTTTTGTCCTTACCGTTACAGTAGTACCCACGTATTATTCACCTTTCAAACATTCTTAGCTCCTTTTATTCACTTTAACATAATCTTTTTCAGGATATCATATTGTTTCACGAACTAATTAGTAATAAACTATATTATCGTATCTTGAATATAATTATAGCCTTAGAAATAATGGAAGCTATCCACAATATTGTTATTCCTATTATTTATTTTAGGATTTCAGAAGGGAAATGGTTATTTTGTTTGTCTCCCTGTTGTTTTTCCCGACAACAATATTAACGCAACACTCAGATACTGTGGTCGGCTGTGGTGGCTTTATAAGATGGAAAGAAGCTCATCCCGATTCTGTACTTGATTTCAGAAAGCTGAAAATAAGTCTGTTTTCAGAAACTACTAGCACATTAAAAGATGTAACCGATGTTCTCCCTAACGGAGCTTATTCCGTTCCGTTATATGATGAGGGCGTTTACAGGATTAGGTTAACTACTCCTAAGGGCTGGCATATTGAACCGTCTGATGGCTACCTTTTGGACCTAGAGAAAGATCCGGGGGCTTGTTTCAAAGATTTTGACTTCAGTATAGTTGGATTCTCAATTTTTGGGCAGGTAAGTTCTTGTTTCTCTTATCATTAAAAACAACTATTTAGGTAACTACTTCTGGAATGAAAACCGGGCCACCTGGTTTATCAGTTCGATTAACTGACCCTACCTCTCACAAACCAATGCTTCATAATTTTACACAGGATCAAGGTCATTTCATTATATCTCCTGTGACTCCTGGTAACTATTTATTGACCGTCAGCAATCAAGATCGTAGTGATAAAGATCATACAAGAGCATCTATCAATATTACAGTCCAGTCCGATAGTATCAACTTGCCAGAACCAATCATTTTACTTGTAAGAATCTATTTTTATCGAACTATGTAGTGTGAGATAACTCAGGATATAAATCCCATCCATCATTTTAATAATCAGATTGTGCACATGGCAAATCAAAGCCATAATCGTCAAAAATGTGATACTATTTACTCATTCACTCGAAAGTGGATGATTAATTTTGTTTTTTTCTTATGTAGCGAGATTTCAGTCATGCCACCTGTCATCATTGTTATACATCTGAATTTAAAGGCTAGTAATAAGATACTTCCGAGGATTGTCAAAATAATGGATGCATGGCTGAGTGATTGATGATCTTAGGTGATATGGCTTAGCCCAGTGATTGCAGCTCACATTACTGGATTATTTAATTGATCTTTCAAATAACCAGATACCAGAAAAAGAAGTACCTGACCAACAAAACAGGCTTTTTATCCAACAAAATGACATATTTAGGTAATAAAGGTAAACGTGAAATCATTTGAAACTTGCTTAATGAAGAGTTAAAGACCCCGTAGGTCACTCAAGTAGCAGTTACATTAAAACATGCCTGTCAAGTTTCACTCTCGTATAATGTATCATTTAAGGCATGATCGTAATAGTAACGCAGTTTCTCCTTCGTAATCTCGAAGTCCTTTGAACTTGGTGTTACACGGCTTTAAAAAATCCTTAGTTGTATTAACACTGTTCTGAGGTTATACTTTATATATTGCAATATTTGAATGTTGCTAAAACATGATGTGCTATTTATGTCAAACACTTGTAAGGATCCACTTGAGTTACAGATTTCCATTTTTTTGAGCAAATACCCATAATGAAGATAGATAAAATCCGAAAGGATGGGGTGCTCTGATAAACATTTCTAACACATCCATCGGTATTGGAATAAAGAGGTTTCCAAAGTTTATGTAGGTCTTTGGTACACCTTTTAATTACAGACACTAAACCTCTCGGTTTATGGAGTCAGTTGTAGTTCTTAAATAAAGAAATCTTACTTGTCAGCCGTCTGTAAATGTGCCTAGGTTTCGGAAACTGATAGAGTGAATATTTGGTTGAAACATCTGTGATCAGATGTGGAACTAACCTGTCGTCCCAGGATTTGCTCCTAACGAGCCCTAGTTAAGCGTCAGATTATTAAAAACACTAATATTTTCGATTGGATCAATTTCTGTGTGGCTATCAAAAATCATGAGGAAGGATTGATAATGGGAACTAAATAAATGTCGAAGAGTGAGAAAAAGTAAAAATGACTAACTTTAGTGTTGCTAGATGCTGCTCACGTGGTTAGATTTCTAAATTCATCTTGCTTGGAGTTTTAACTGCTTTGAACTCTTTTTCAGCGTGTTTAGTTGGTAGTAGATTAGATCTTATGACGACTAAATAATGCCTGTCTTTTTTACATTACTTATTGATGGGAAGATAGTGTTTAACAATTGAGGAAGTATATAATTAGGAGTTCAAAGACGTCTCACAGTTTTGTTATAATTTCATTCATTATTTTAAGTTATTTTCCTCGTGAAAATGATGAAAAGTATAATATTAAATACGTCTAATCTAGTATCAAGTATCTTGTTGAATATACATGCAAGAACGAAACAAATCTATGAACATCGTTATTTACTGTCACTGTTAATTACTGATATGTTTATTCTCTATACTTAGGGTCATTTTCTCCGTGGACGTGTGACAGACTTCAATCAGAATCCTTTGGTCAATGCAAAAGTTTTCCTGTTATGTGATAAAGATAAGACATTGTCGAAATCCTCTACCACTCTAGACAAGTCAGTATATTCACATATAGTCGAAGCACTTGGTGAAATGCACTATAAATTTTTAACAATACAAGAGGTTAGAAAATACTTTTTAAGTTCTTTTATTATTCATTTTCATTAAATTTATTTACATTGGTTGCTAGTTTCAACAATAAATCAAAGTAACTATCACATTGTTATGAGTTAACATCAATTAGATGTTACAGCACTCTGAGAGTTGAGGACCTACCAATCAATTGTTTGTCTGTAAGATGTCCGTTTACACATATTTTGATACCTTGCGTATTTTGGTTTAACAAACATCACAGTTACTTACAGATCACTAGTTGTTTTGGTATCCTCTATTGTCTTACTTCTTATGATGACTATGAATATATTACGTTTTTATTGTAGTCCTCAACAGACTCAGATGGCTATTTTACGTTTGATCGTCTACCGGGCGGCAGTTATCTTCTGGTACCCTTATATACGCCTAAGAAGTCCGGGGTCGTATTTTCATTTACTCCGAAATTCCTCCCGGTAGCAATGGAGCACACAGATGTGGATCTCGGGCATGATACGTTTACATTGCAAAGCTTCAAACTTAATCCAGGACGTATCACGTGGCCGAACGGTGTTCCGATATCATCAGCTAAGGTAAAGAAACTTTCTTAACTCTATGTTTATCCAGAAAATTCCGTTCAACGCTTTTCTTTATCCATGTATTTACGTTTACAACAGTTAAGTCTTGGGCTATTATGTGAAAGAAACAGTTGCACGTGAAGATATGTTGAACATGGTTTGATATCAATAGTACTGATGTTGATTAATGCTTGTCATGATGTTTGATTCATTTTCAAAATATTGAGAAATCTGTATTTGGAAATTTAAATTGTATTTATCGGTTTAGGTTTCATTTAAAACTTCACGTTACGACTTACTCTAACTAGCAGGGAATTGTTTCTGTTATAATCTCTTCTTACGGTTATGACCCAGCTATTCCTATTGCTTAGTATTCTCGGACACCGATTCACTCAACAAGTCCCCAAATCAAAACATGGTTGAACAGGAAAGAGATTATATTCCAAATAACAAGGTTAGATGGAAGCAAGAAACCAGTAGGAAGCACAATAGGGAAAAACGTCAGTATATTTATAGTTTTTACATGAGAAGATTCTAGAGTATTCTCCAACTATCGACTAGTGCTGATTGACTAAGAATTAGCCAATCAGCGTGCACAAAAACGATCGTGCCATTGAGCATGCTTTAATCCAGTCTATGTACCACTAACACTTTCACTTCACTTAACCGTGGGATTTGGACACAAGGAAAATTATATTTTTCAAAAAATACCATTGTATTTTCCTACATGAAAAAGTTGACAGAGTAGTTGTCAAATCTGTTATTTTGTCGCCTTACCATGAGGTTATTTAAAACTCTTAGTTTAGGATGTAGAATCTATATTTTTTCCTTACGTGAACTCAAAAGTTTGTTACATACAAAATTACTGTAATATTCTTCACTTTGAATCTCGCATTTTGCTATTAAATTCTATCTAATTCTGAAATAGTTCCTGTCAAGCGCTTTTACGGAATCGTTCATACCAGTTAATCATAATACAGTTGACTGCACAATAATCTTTTTACATTTGTTTATTTGTTTATTAACGTCAGTCTGTCAGTTACAACGTAGGACCTGGCATGTATGTTCATCGGTTCAGGCTTCCATACTCCATTAGCACAGGGAGATGAAACTGTCCAAGATATGGCTCAAGAAAATATAAGTTACTGAAATAGAGACAAAAAACGTCATGAGAAATTCAGGCGTTCAGAATTTGCGGGAAGAAAAGAATGGATACACTTGCGTCATTGAAAACTATTTTGAGTCATATCAAAGTTTTTAACCATTATGTTAACGTCAATATTGTGTGATTGTAAATATTTAAAAATTGGCATATAAACTTCATACCTGTATTTTTGCTGTATAGTATTAATATTATGGTCACTGTTATGCATATTTATACAATTTTAAACTATGCACTATTAAATTCCTTGTCTCAATCCATAATGCCTGAGTCCAAATTTTAAGAACAATTGTCTTTAGTTATCTTTATGTTTTTACAATATTAAATTTCATAAACTTATTATACTGTATCTGAATAATTTTTACATCTAGATTACAATTACTACTAATACATCACAAAAATCTGTATTAACAGATGGTGATGGATTTTATCAATTGAATCACATAATTGCAGGGGACTATAAATTTCAGGTATATTTTGATTACTTATTATTGACTTAATATAGTTATAGCAATTTGAGTGTATGTACATTGTGAATTTAATATTATCTTTGCAATTAATCATTTTCACTTGGTCTTGTTTTGCTTGTATCTTTCCATTGAGGTTTAAGATTGTAGTTGATCAGTCTGTTATTGGCATATGTGCATATTGTGTGTATGCTTCGATATTACATTAATCACAAGCTTTTATGAGCAAAGATGTATAGTAGCTAGTAGTAGAATCCAGGACGCGCGTTTCGTCTTGTTTGGGACTCGTCAGCTGGATGTACCTGCATCTCAGAGTTGATGTTCACTCTGGAACTCGAACCCAGTACCATTCGCTTCAAACTCCATCGCGTTATCCACTCAGCTACTGAGTCCTGATAGCCACTTGCTTGTGCGGTGGGGTGAATTTAAATTCACTTGGTATTGTTTTGCTTGTATCTTCCCATTGAGGCTTAATTAATCATTTTGTTTAGAATTATGTTTCTTCTTGTGTAGTGTTACATAATATAAACTGTCCGAAGAAGAAATGGACCACAGAAACTGGTTTTATTAGTAGTAATAGTATAAGCTGTAGGTACGGAAAGTAATTGTAAAAATAATGGTAACTATATAGTATGGGAGTTATTTGCGAAATGAGAGAAATATTATAATTTGGATATTTGAATGAATTCGCGTACTATCTGACACATATTCTCAGAGTCCCACTTTTTAGAAACAGAATAGCAAGTGTTTAACCTCTTATTTTTTCTTATTATATCTGCTCTCAAAATTCCATTGGGGAATCTAAGACATATCAAGTCAACCAAATTAGGTTTGAAGCATCAACACTCTTTTACTGTTTGTCTAGAATCTCTCTGTGTTACAGATCAACTTTAATTCAGAGGAAGGCATAGTTTTGCGTTCTCACTCAATAGTCTGAAGAGTTAGCTCTCTTTACAAGACGCGGGTTTTTTAGTTCGGTCTTGTGTTGGGAATGCGCTACGTTAATTTAACACGTATGGTTTTCTGTCCCTGTTTATGTTACTTCCATTAGTTGTTTTAGTCGAAATAAAGTTTTAAACCTCTGGCGGTAGTTACCAACAGTGTTAACAGTTCATACTGTTCTTATACAAGTTTCAAATTTCGATGTTTATCTCGAGATAAGTTGTATAATTCAAGGTTTTCGTCCAACGTAATTTAAACACTATCTTGTTTATCGATTGTCTGATATCGTCATGGTGTTGGTAATCCATTTGCCAAAACATTTTTTCTGTGTTTTATTGGTTGAAATATCAGGCTTTGGAAAATATATTTCCTTTCAGATCTTGTAACTTGGTTAGAGATCAACTTACATGTACAATGAACGACATCTCTTATAGCTTTCAGTTGGTCTTTAAGAAAAGAAATATTAATATCATATTAAAATGTATTCCATTTCATTTGTATTTCGTTCCAATCCTATTGATCATAGGTCGAAGTAGAAAACGCTTTCTTTGAAACGTTTTCAATAAATCTAAATCATTTACTAGAATCTCTTCCCAACTTAGTTCCTGACAAGGTTTCTGTATGTGGAAACTTAATCCCAGCTGATACATCATCAGATTTAAAAGTAAGAATACGATCCATTTATTGATAATGTTTTTTAATTGTTTACTTATTACTACTGTGGTGTATGGTACGTGTATGGATTTGAAGTAGAATCTCTACTGACAGAAGAGGAACATGAGGAGAAGAGAAAGCAAATTAGAAACAGTCCGAATAGTTACAACAATGAGAGAACGATGGAGCTTGTAAAAGACTAGTCAAGGAAGATGTGCAAATTATATATTCAATGTATTGTTTCCATATTTTGCAAATAGTGTGTTTTTGCTGAATAAAAAAAGCTTTACCCTACCCGAATCTTCGTTCATTACAGTACATGTCATATCATTTATGATTTTTTTTGTAAGTAGCTAATCTCTCATTGACTTATCAAGTCCATCACATTATTTGAGTTTGTCTTATAAACCGTTTCTGTTTTTGCAAAACAATGTTCACTAAAAATTGTGTTTATCAAATATTCAATGGTGGTCGTAAGTAGATTTAATTTCGTAAATAGTTAGTTGCGAGATATTTCTTCAAAAGGTCTGTCTGCTAAAAAGTGTCTTATGAACTCAGCTCTCCAATGCCATAGTACGGTCGAGGGTGAGGCTATTCTTTACAAAATTAAAAGAAGTGAATGTCCGCCTCTTAAAGAATTGGGAAAACATGATTCCAAACTAATGGTGCACATTGGCTCCAAAATCTTGAAGGAGAAAATGGTGTATGAATCTATTGTTGGTCACCGGCTACCACGAGACTGCAGCTGACGTCACTCCATCGCCTTATGAACTAGACATCTGAGTCAAAATCTTGGTGACTCGCCCCCTCAAAATACTACTTTTTTCGGTTTGGGCACCCGGACAGTACTCTAGCTCACACACAAATTTAGTGATAACTAATTTGTGTGGGACATATATATTTTGATGCCCCTCTGTGCTTATGTTTTGATAAATAAATAAACTTTAAGTAGATTCCTACATCATAATGAATTTCGTTTCTCTCACAGCAGCCTTATAAAACATTTAATTTTCTGGAAATGTGTCATGGTAGCTAGAGGTCTTGATTCTCAACTACTAAGTTGGATACTTAAAATACTTATGTACTTATTCCAGTTTGAGTAAGCCAAACGACATAACTACCCTCCTTATGAGAAGTGCGACTTAAAGCTGAGTACATAAGGTCGTACTTAGAAAATAAGTTACGGTAACTTATTATATATCAGGGATAAAAGTAAATTCATGTTTTAAATTGTATGATGAGAATCTTATTAAGTGTGTGTAATCATTGCGTTAATAAATTGCTGAATTTTTATCTTTATTCTTACAGCTTAAAGTATACATCGTTGTTCGTAGTGTTGACAACAGTTCTGAAATCAATCGAGTTGAAACAAATCTAGAAGATGGGATATTTAAATTCTGTGCTTTTCTTAATCCCGAACGTTATTCATTGCATCCAGATGTTTCACTGTTTGGAGTAAATCAACATTCTGATAAAATACTACGATTCACTCCTTCGGAAATAATGGTGCGTTACCATAAAACAGAAGGATATTTGGTTTTCAGTGTTAATAACATCAATAACATTGTGTGTTATCATTATATTCAACCTCATAATGGTGACTTATGATTCGTGTACTTGATGGTCTTCACGATTGAATAAAGTAAAAAATTTCGAAATCATTCGATCTATAAATAGTCAGTTAGTTTTAACAGAAAATAAACAATCTCGCTCCACAATGTTTTATTTATAGTATATTAGTAACTTTAAATGTTATATTACGTGGTAAAGAGATACAATCGTGTTGTTAGCAGTGGGACTTACAACGAAAATGATAAAATTATATTGTTAGTCACATGAATTTATTATATTTCATAGCTTCTTATCAGTTGCAAGTAGCTTAAATTGACATTGGTACATCTAGCTAACTTCAGTAAATAGGGCGAAACGTAAGTTCTGAATTTCACTGCTAGCCACCATTTATTTTTGCTTATAATTCTTTTGAATTGATGGTAATATGAATGAAAATAAATTGTTGGCAAATGGGTAATAATCAAAGCATCCAATTAACGTCGTAAGTAATTGTTAGTGGGATTCGTTCTTATGTTATGCTATAAAATACCTATAAAGAGATAATTTAATCAATAAAAGTTAAAATAATATGATTATCTTATCATGACAATAAGAGGTTTACCGCACTTAATGTTAATGGCCTTTGCAAAGAGGAACAAAAGTAATGTTCTCTGCTTGCTAGTTATTTTAGACGCTTTTGTGATTTCCACGTTGTGTACACCACCCATTATATATCTAGTAATCGCATTTGTTAATACTTTGCATTCATTCCCGATGTTAACTTGAATTTTTATGTCAACCGGGTGTTTTGATTATTACTCACTTGGTAACAATTTCTTTTGACTTACTATAACTTCACTCTCATTTTCATGAATTTATCTTCAACATGTAAATACTAATCGCTTTCAACTCTTGTTAGTCGTTGGTGCACCAAACTGAAAATTCTGATTCTCGTTCCCGCGTGCGGTGTCTTCGATGCGCACTGCTGTGGCGTCCCATACTAGGATGAAACGGCCGTCCAGTACTTGCAGGTTTTCAATCGTGGTCTAACATTGATCGGTTCATGATTTCAATGAACCTTCACCATCTCCACAATTTTATACTGATATTAATAAATATATTGTCATCTCTTCTTTTTTTGCTATATTGCTTCGTACTGAACTTCATTAATCACGGCATATAAGACACTACATAATAATTTAACCAATGTGAATTCGGGTCATTTTTAGCTGATGAGAAACCATGAGATATTGCGAATTCTTATTATTTTGTAAATTTTGTTCTTCTCACTTATGTATGTGTGTTGATAAAGCGATCCATACAACTGTAGCTCAATTACTGTACAAAATATGTAACACTGTTCGACCACCCGATTGATACTTGTATTTCCAGTGTAGAGTTGTGTAGATTATTGAATTTCATTGAAATAACGAACTGATCTAAGTTAGATCACCATTGAAATCTTGGAAGCACTAAACGGCCCTTTCACCCTAGTATCGTAGTAGTGTACATCCACGAGAATCAAACCCAGGACCTTCGGTCTTGCGCACTACCGCTTAGCTTTCAGAGCACCGAGCCAGCATCTAGTACTTCGAAGTTTTCAATGGTTGTCTAACTTAGATCGGTTCTTGACTTGAATGATATTTATATGACTGAAGTGGTTGTTTTCTGTGATTGAATTTAATGAAAAAGTTGATTGTAACCAATTGAATGTGCTCACAAAAGATTGGTACTAATTAGCAGAAACTTACTATAAAGATCATGGAAGATTCATGGCCACAATGAGTGACTATTATTGAGACTTATATGTCATGGTAATACCGTTATCTCTAACGATACAACCCTCTGGGCAATGAGATTGTTGAGTGAAATCTACTGCAATATCTGCGTCAAATTACTTAATGCACTAAGCTTTCGTACTAGAATCTGACTCTAATAAAGATTTTATTGATGAATGCATAAAATACATTTATTTGGAATTATAGGAACTTATTGCGGGTAACTAACATCAACTCGTGTTAGCGAACATGTACTGTAGTGAACAAGAACACACAACCAAATGTGTTTTAATACAACAGTACAGGATATCGTGGTAAAAACTGAAAACCATTCAGTTATACTTCATCTGCAAAACATCTATCAATTGTCTCGGATTTTATTGTTCCTTCGTTTCCACGTCATTGATTCTCTGTTCTCGTCCTCTTCTATTGGGTCTTCTTAATTCACTACCGCCTTACATTTCACTTCCAACTGATAATACATACTACTTATATCTGTCGGCACCAGTAGCGCACACCCTAGTATAACATCCAATGTTAAAATGTACTAAATGGTTTACTTGTAGGTTTTCCTTGACTTTGTGACGTTTTTAACTGAATAGCTAAATTACCATTAAACTATATATCTATCATAATATTAATTGTTTTCTCAATGTACAGGAAAGATTTGAAATCGTGTGAAGATTTTGCTTTATCTAACTCAAGTAAATTAATTAGTCTATACTTCATTAAAATATCAAATTATCAACTTGGATTTGTTACCACATGTATCAGCTTTTATTTATTAATATTTTTCAATCGGATGTGCCTAATTCATATTTCATGCAAAAAAGGCTATTGAAATATCCATGGGTTCTATTCAGCCTGTATATTGCTCGTATCAGTATCCAAATATTATAATCTTTTACTTCATAGAATGCTAATATAATATGAAGCTATTGTTTTAACATTTATTTTCTCTTTCTAGGTTGATCTAACTGGTTCTCCTGTAGTCAATGTAACGTTTTCTCAGTTTCGTGCTAAATTGTTTGGGAGAATTAATTGTTTACTTCCATGCTCTTATTACAAGACACCGGTTTATGCTCAACTGACTTCACTTCACTCAAATACAATTCAGCCAAAACTATATGAATTTATACCTAGTAAAGTAAGTGATAACAACATTTTCGCGAAATGTTTCTTGAGAATCTAAAATAAACGGTTAAAATCACTCCAATCCGTTTGCATGTTACTTAGTATTGGTGTTGTAATTAGCTAGTTATTCACTGGCCTACCTCGATAGGCAATACTTAGGTAGCATAAAAGCAGATGCGTAGAAATATAAGTGGAGAGATACTAAGAAATACCAAACACAGTCGTTGACCTTAAATGTGTTGAAAAGTGCAGAAAAGAGCTTGAAATTTGCGAAGCAGTCATAATTTGTGGTTGCGAAAGACTCGAAATTGGTCACGTTTTCCTGCATCAGTACATTAATTCTTACTGAACGGTGGATTTTGCTGGTTGATTTCAGTAATGGCTTAGTGGTTAAGACATTAGACTTTCAGTCACCAAGTTTCAGATTCGAACGCCGCTCCACCCATTTCGACTTTGGCAGCATGGCAGTATCATTAGCCTTTACACTTAGATTATGGCTAATACTCAAGTGCCTGGTGAATGTGTTCATTAGTTTTTTCTACAACATTTGGTTCGTTTCTCTTAATTGATGTCACATTCATTTGAAGTCTGTTGTTTTAAGGTTTGACTGAAATAGTCACTAAATTCATGTACCGGTGAACTCACGTCTGTTAATTGTATTGTCATTTTGTTTTGTTACATAGACTGACTTGCATGTAGCTTTTTTCAAAGCTGAAGATATGCTTCCAGGTGATTATGCTATTCAGGTTGTTTTCTATTCGGGCTCTTCACTTACTACAATAGACGGTTGGTGTTGGGATCACCATGAAAAGACAGATAGTGGGGAATTTCAACCGATTGAATCTTCCAAGAGAATTCTTCATATACGTTCTGATGATTTACATTATGATAATGAATCAGCTCTTGATTTTCGTCAAACCGGGTTTCTTATTCCAGTACAATTTGAATTACCGAATTATGTTACAAGAGTGCCTACTGTGCTTTTGTTTGCTTCAAATTACTTCAAGGAAAATAATACGACAGTCAAAAGTTCCATAGTATGGAATTTAACTAAAACATGTAACAGAGTAAGTTAATGTTCCCACTTTAATCTCGTTTCGCTTCATATTTATATTATCTTTTTTTCTGTGTAATCTGAAGCAATACTTTTTCTTCAGCTATAAGCTGTTCATTTGTTATATTCTATCATCAATTATTCAAATAATTAATCTACTCAACTAGATTTAAATACACAGTGTCATGCCGTTGTTTCGCAGTCACCTACTGTTCAAATTAGAGTTAGTGGAGGTTTTTAGCCCAAGACCTCACAAAATCAACTGCGTACAAACTTTATTCAAGACGGCAAAAACACTGCAGCTTGGGAAAATTAAGAAACATATCCTTCAAAAGAACGGCTATTCTCACAACTTCATAATATATTAAAACAACAGAAGCAAAATCAAGCACAGAAACCAACAAACGAATCATCCTACCACGCATAAAAGGCATATCAGAAACTACAAAAAGATTGTTGAAACCTTTTGGAATAGCTGTAGCACGTAAACCAACAAAATCAAGGCAACCAATCCTATGCGAACCAAAAGACGAAATGATAAAAGAAAAACCGTACATCATCTACAATATAAATTGTTCCAATTGCGAAAAACACTACATCGAACAAGGCGGACGCCCTCTTCATTTTCGCCTACATGAACGTCAACTAGCGGTCAAACGCCACAACATATCCTCACTTATATCGATGCATGTGGACAACTGTGGACATATGTTTGACTGGGAAAATGATGAGATCTTGAATAAAGGCAATTCCAAAGGCACCAGAGAATTTCCAGAAGCTTGTCACTCAGGTCAATCAACAAACACATTTAAATCGACCCATTTTATTAACCAAACGGAAAGATTATGGAGAAATATAGGACCGAAAACCAAATCAATGGGAGATACAGTCAAAATAAAGAAGTAAACAATGACAGGTTTAAGGTCAACAATAACCAATCGAAGTCGAGCTGTCAGTTATATGTGAAAAAATCCGGACACTAACTTCTACCAGGAGTTTATGCTGATGATGTTGTTTAGATGAATAATGAAATTTTCATGGCCGAACCATCCAGTTCAGAGGACGAAACCTAGCCAAAATTACTCAACTTGGCCTCTACATACCAATACTGCTTAAACGTTTCATAATAGTCTAGTTATACTACAAACTAATAATCGTATGTAGAAAACGAAGAGCTAATACAAGAATTATATGGAATGAAGCTGTATTTTATCGTGCAAAAATTTTAAGAATGAGAAGTAATTTTTGTTACTGTTTACAGAAATTTATTTATTTATTTGAACACATAAATATTGGTACGAAGGGGGAACCGAATACATATGCTCTACACAAGTCATTCGATTTGTGTGTGAGCTGTAATATTGCCCGGGTACCCAGACCGAAGCAGGTGGTTTTCTTAGTAGATCACTCCCTGAACCTCCGACCTAAACGTCTGATCCACAAGGCAGTGGAGCAACGTCACGAAATGCAGTCCCATCGTAGCCGGTGACCAACGATTGGTTCATAGGTCATTTGTTACTTTAGGATACTGGAACCCATGTGCACCATTGGCTTAGGATCAGGGTTTTCCCACTCCCCTAGGAGGATCCTTCGTGTCCACCAACCCGGTTAGATCGCCTGACATCCGCTTTTCGTCCTCTCAGTTTTGTAAACAACAGTATTGCTCCGAGAAGGGAGTGAGTAAGGCTTCCTTAGCAGTAGCTGTATACTTGTGGCCATGTAAGAGCATTTCGAGAGGGAGAGAGTACTCTCTCTACTCTCGGTCGTACCAGGGCATTTGGGGGCCTACAGAAGTTAGAAATTAGTATAAGAATTATATGTAATAGTGGAAAAAATATTGACCATCCACAAACAACTACTTTTCATGGACATCAACTACTTTCTGATTGCGTTCTTATATATTCAACTCTACATTCCAAGAATGACGTCAATGCATATTTTTGATCAGTATTCAAGTGAATAAACTCATTAATTCAATATTTCAGGTCAAATGTAAGTTACTGAAATATTATTCGTTACCTCGTTCTTATACTCAATTGAAGATTGTTTTGAAAAATCTTAATTTTTTTTTTCAGATTTGTCTACCTTCACCTGAAAAAGTTTATAAAATTAGCTTATCTAGCACATGCACTCGACTCAGACTATTACAAGCCACTGAAATAAATCCATCAAAAGATTGCCACCTTACACTGAATTCTAGCGCTAGGATCCGCATCGGCGTAGAAGAACTGCCTGTTGTTATTCATCTTAAACTCGATCAAGTGGCCGCAAGGTTTTTCGATGATCTCAAGGAAGTTTTCGATTCTCCTTATTCATTCCAAATAGATTTTCCTTCCAATACATCTGTAACACCTCGATCAAAACTAGTTGAAACACTGTAAGTGATTGAATTAATCATTTATATTTCGTAACTGTACACTTTATTTCTCAGATTAAATGTTGTGGTGAAATAATCCTGCGTGCAGGATCGTAGATGCGCACCATTGATGAGTCCCATACTAGGACGAAACAGCCGTCTGGTGCTTCTAGATTTTCAACAGTGATCTAGCTTGAATCATTTCATGAATTTAACTATTAAAATAATTAATTACGTATAATCAAACACTATGATACTCAATATTCCAGCTTGAAGTACCTCAGATTTTAAATATTTCAATCCCCAGATGTTTTGAAGAATAGTGTTCGATAAATCAGAGGTAGTGTATGATTTTGTACATGAGGAATTCAGTGGGATTAGCGAGGAATCTGTGCAATACAGGTTCAAATCTCCTGGAGAGAATCAGTTTTCTCAAGGCTGCAACCACGCCTTGCTCTCGCAAAAGCTAGATCCTGCGTTTATTACCGACTACTTGTAACGACACCTAATATCTCAACATTGTTCATGCGTTATTCAGTCATTGAGAATTCGATCAACTCAAAGGATTGAACAAATGTGACATTGGTTATTACTCCATCTTCAGGCAATCAAGTTAATGAAGTCGATTGATGTGGTACTTCGCCATATGCTCTAGTTCATTAACTAGTTCTATAGTTAAAAGCACACAGTAATCTTGCTTATTTATGTTATATTTTTGATGATATTCTAGTTCTCATTTATTTTAGCCTACAAGCAGCTCGAGAGTGTTTAATTTTAGTTTTCTCGGATATAGACATACAAGCGCTCATTACAAATTATATTACACAAATGACCAGATTGTTTTCATTTTATAAACCACATTCCTTATAATTCCACTGAATTTGTGTGTTATAAGTATTCAACGTCAACGAATTTTAAATATGTGTATTTTCCTGTTATATCAATAGATGAGAACAGTATAATACATCTTATTTTTTCATAATTTTCTATTTTAGTGAATTAATTTGTCGTTTTTAATTTTCTTATGTTATTTAATGATATACACAAATAATGATTTGAGTGTTCATAAACTTTTATCTTTTTCACTTCATAGTTGGTCTAAATCATCTCAAAACGTCGAGTCAGTATCTGCAACAGGAGTGTTCTGGCTTAATATCAGAAACACAATTCGCGTTACTCCTAAATCACTGAATTTAAAGCAAAATCATATGGTTCATTTGATAACATATCCGTCTAGTCAAGATATTAATCTTCAATCCGACTCTGAACAACAACAAAAACAAATTGATGATATTTCATGTAGTTTAACAATCCCTATAGTTAACCCCTCTAAATCTACTGTAAATGATGTACATTCATTATGTTCATCACTTTTTGTTGGACAAAATGTTGAATTCAGCCTTACGATCGCTGTCAATCTTAGAGGTCGTATCGATCCGCCTACTGAGAGGGTGAGAGAATATTGCTTATTTTTAACTAATCGACATTTATCAGTGAATTTCACTTGCCTTCTCTGTATTGTGTTCCCTTGTCCTGTTATTTTAGTCGTTCTATTCAAAGCATAAATTAACTTAAGTTATAGATCAATCTCCAATACATCATTGCACCAATGTCTGTTAGCTTATCAATCAGTATTGTGCATTTCTATATGGTTTCATTATGATCGTTTACAAGTATGTTTAAGGATCTCTTTACTATCTCACAAAGTGATTATTGTAATAATAATGTTAAGTGAATTATTTACGATTGCTCCAGAATGCAGTAAAGGAATCTGTCAATAAAAAGTTGTCTTTACATTTATGTTTGACCGATTTTAATGTACTAATAAAATCCTCTAAACTAGAACAATTAATATATGGCTAGTTATCCGAAAAAATGTAAAATGAAATCTATCTTTTTCTTCTAATGATTTTGTTGACGTGACATTAATTTTCCTCATTTCTAAGTTTTCAATAATCTTCTATGTGTTTAGGTCAATATTGAATTATTCAAGAAATTGCCTCAAATGTCAGAAAAGTTTCCAACTTCTGCCGAACACGATCATCTCTTACTACCTGTGAATAGTGAATCCGAATTGGTAACTAACACAGAAAAAGAAACTAACTCATCTGAACCGATTTCAGTTACTCAGTCGGATAGTCAAGGTTTATTTTCTTTTAATGCTCTACCTTTAACAGATTGCGAAGTATTTAATATTAAATCTATATTTGAGGTTTCTAAAATGTATCAGATCTTATTATCTAAAGCTGGTTACAAGTTCGATATCATTAATAAAACAGATGTTAAACATCAATTGACAGGTTTCGACTGGTATGTAAAATCAACTAGACTTTCTCTTGTTGAAGTGTTTGTCTATAACTATCCTGTTTCAGAGGATTCACGTCAACCATTATCAGGTAAATTCACTCATTTCTGAATATTTAATGATGTTTAAAATTTCACTCCTTTGCGTGTAAAACTATTTTTTTCAGTGCATATACCTAATTTTTTCGGTCGTAACCATTTATGGGTACAGTTGTTTTATGTAGCAGCATTAATTGAAAATAAGTTATTGAAATTTCAACTAAACTTGACAGTTTAAGAATGCGTTCATTGCAGAATACCATTTCGAACCTTTATAATGCTACTTATAATTAAACCACAATTAGTGACAAAAAAATTGAGTCTTCACTAATCTTTAATTCATGCTAATATTATACTATGTTTATATAAAAAATAAGATAGTTTCAATTTAAACCTTAAAGTAACAGGTCTAAAAACAGCTTATGCGTTTTCGTTGTTAAGCCCCCAAATACCCTGGTACGACCGAGAGTAGAGAGAGTACTCTCTCCCTCTCGAAATGCTCTTACATGGCCACACGTATACAGCTACTGCTAAAGAGGCCTTACTCACTCCCTTCTCGGGGCATTACTGTTGTTTACAAAACTGAGAGGACGAAAAGCGGATGTCAGGCGATCTAACCGGGTTGGTGGACACGAAGGATCCTCCTAGGGGAGTGGGAAAACCCTGATCCTAAGCCAATGGTGCACATGGGTTCCAGTATCCTAAAGTAACAAATGACCTATGAACCAATCGTTGGTCACCGGCTACGATGGGACTGCATTTCGTGACGTTGCTCCACTGCCTTGTGGATCAGACGTTTAGGTCGGAGGTTCAGGGAGTGATCTACTAAGAAAACCACCTGCTTCGGTCTGAGTACCCGGGCAATATCACAGCTCACACACAAATCGAATGACTTGTGTAGGGCATATGTATTCGGTTCCCCCTTTGTACCAATATTTATGTGTTCAAATAAATAAATATTTTGTTAAAACACTCATTATTCATTGTTGATAGTACTGATAGATTTCGGTTTGTTCTAAATCATGACTGATAATTTTCAAGTTAGGATTTTAGTATTCCTGACCAATCCCTTTATATTTCAGCTGTATTGATTTCCATTATTGGGGAAGGACATCGTGCAAATCATTTAACAAATGAAGAAGGTGTTGTACGCTTTGTCGGTTTATCTCCTGGTATGTTTATATATATATTGTTTTACTCGTACATCTTCTTTTGTAGGTAAACTGAATGGTTGTCTTTTTCTCACTAGTTAAACCTTCAAATACTTTTATATGATATTTTGATGGGCGTCTTTTAAGATGTCTGAGGGTTATAAGTAGTTATAGAATTGCTAGATATATGGCGTTAATGTTCTGAACCTAATTGCTTTCTTTATGGGGGAATACCGATTTAAATTTTCTTAGAACTATTTCATATTATTTTAATCACCATCAGTTTAAGATGCGTTCTTCCTTGTGTTGATCATTACACTTCTCTCAATTGAACACAAATCAGAACAACATTAGGGTTGAGAACTTGGTTTACTCGGAATGTCCAAGCGTACAGTTTGTATAGAATGTGCATAAAAAACCTCTAGGACATTCTAGGTACATCCACTAATATACCAATAACTGTGTTAGGACTCTGCACTAAATATGCTGTGATTAGCATTGTGTCCATCGTACAATTTAGATTTTCTAATAATTGTTGATATGTAGTTAGTCTTCACTGCTCTTTACTTATTGACTTTATTGTATCATCAGTCTTATTGCTTAGACTGAACAATCGGAGACAACTACAGTTCTCGCAACGCAAGGTTAAAGCATAGAAAACTAATGCAATGAGAATTTAGTGACTTCCCAAAAACACTATTCCATGCACGTCTTAAGCTCATACCATAATTAGACTAAAATTCAATCATTTACATACTAATTTTTACCCACCTTTAATAGTATTACACACAGAAAGCAATACATTGAGTTACCATTTGAAAAAAAAACTAAACTTAGTTCACACCTGTCATCCATACTGAAACTCGTAAAGGACTAATACAAAAATATTAACCTAAACAATGTCGTCTTCTTATTCCGTCATATCAACAATGTCTGTTTATTTTTGTGCCATTTAATCATGGTAAAATGTAAACCATAATTATTAATAACTCCGTTCAGTTTGGAACTACATAAACACTCTTAATTCTTAAATTATTCTATTAGAATCACTGCTTCAATTAATATTATGATGAGTAAGCTGAAATTCAAAGTGATGCGATACGACAAAACAGTGATTGGTTAGATGATCAAATGCATGAATTTGATTCCTTCGTAAATCCATATCGTTATCATCATGTTAAATTCCTTTCATTTGACTAATGAAAACTGTAAGACTTCTGGTAATTAAACTAATTACAATTTATTTTAGTAGTATTGAAAAATATAAGCATCAATCTTTTGGACTTTAGTTAGATTTTATGACGAAATAGAAAGCTTTGTTTCCTGACTTTATAATAGATGCCAACTTTTTGTATCTGAGATCCTATTGTCTCTTGCCAATTCTTATTTTTTCATGTAAATTCTTAAAATTACTGTTTTCATTCTTACCTTTAATTATCTGAAATTAAAATCATACATTGTATATCGTCTAATTTATTTGTTTTCAACAAATAACCACTTATGAAGTTTATGTCCATCTCTGTCAATGTGAGCAGTCTTATAACTATCTTACATGTATTGAGCCTCTTAAATTCGTTTTCATTTTGCTTTTATTCTCCCCTGATCTGATTCTCTTTTATGTACAACTTTATATTACTTATTAACATTCAGTAACCGGTCTCAATTCTTATACCTTTTGAGCTTATAACGTGTTCTCTTCATCCGTGGCTGTGTAAAGTTTTAAACTATTTACATATACCGACATCATTCAGTTTATTTATAAACGCAATTGCATTTTTCTAAATGCACATAACATACACTTTTAGTTCAATTTTATCCGTTGAACGTTTGTTTTAGTGTTACGCTTTCCATATTTGATGTTCTTCCTTCTCACTTCGACATTCCCTGCCATTGTAATTTAGATACGCTTGTTAACTGTCGTGTGTTGTTATTATTAACTCTATTTATTCTTTTTAAGAGGCAATCTTCTCTGATTGTACAATAACTCAGTAGATATTTCAGACTTCTTACCAGTTGGGGTTTGTATACATTCCACATACTTTCGTAATAACGGTACCATATTAGCAGAATATGTTGTGATTTTTGTCACCGTATTTTACCTGTCACCCGATTGTGTGCTTAAAATCTCGATAATATTTTGCAGAATCTATTTAAATAAAATAACAATCTTTCCTGTTTAGTTTGATGATTGGCTATTTTTTTTATATGATAATTGTAAAATGCAACATAAAGGAAAAGACTTTTTTGACCATCTAACTTCCGTTATTTCGTAGATTTTTAAAGTGTTCTCCTACTCCACACTTTAGGACAGTATTATGTACGTCCAATGATGAAGGAGTATTCATTTACTGTTAAATCTCCTGATCAATCTGAATCTGGTCAAGCTATTCCTGTGCAGGTAGAAGAAGGAAAATCGGCTGTCATCATATTGTCTGCAGTTCGAATTGCTTTTTCCGCTTCAGGAGTTGTAAGTTAGTAATTTTTTTCTCTTCGAGTAGTTTGAATTTATAAACTATTTATGTCACTGCTTCATGTTGTTAGGATAACGGAAAACTGAAATAGTAAGCATTTTCTGCTAATTGTTAACTTCATCTCTTACAATTAAATCTGTTCAAATCGATACATACTAGCAACAAGGAAATCAAAACATTAAATATATTAAGACCAATGACAACCAAAAATAGATTTAATTAGCTGGTCCGTTATTTAAATACTAAATCAAATCATGTACACTTTGCTAAAATTGTGAAAAAAATGCATTCAATTTTGTGTGGGACACAATATCTTCAAGCAAGCCGAACTTTAAAAGTCATCCATTATTACATTTTATCTTTCACTTGTCAACTGAATTGTAAGGCTGTTATTCCACTATGTGGTTAGTAATTGTTATATATTTTAAGTTTGTATTTTTGTTATGTTTATTTATTTTTTGAACATTCACTTTAACTTCGGTACTTAAAGGTTACTTCGTTAGCTGGTATCCCAGAGTCTGGTGTTTTAGTTGAAGCTTCCTGGTTACCTGGAACACAAAATACTATACATAACGATTTGTTGCACTTAAAATCAAATAGCAACTTGACGTGCCAACTTCGATATGATCAAATTAATATTATCCCACGGGAACAATCTGTAACGGATTCAAATGGCAATTTTCGTATTAGAGGTCTTATGCCAGGTTGGTTTAATAAGTCATTTTTTCAATCCCCCTCACGTTTTGTTGTAAAATGTGTACATTTTACACATAATGTATCTTTAGAGACAACCACTGGAACAGGTGTACATAAATTGATCCCTGAACTTATAGATGTTATCACTTTATTTAATTACTGAAATTCCATCAGTTGAAGCTAGCTGCTACCTTGACGCGGTGGTCGGGTTTGCCTATCGTGATGACCCGACCGAGCTATATTGGCTGGAACATATGTTACTGTAGGTTCTACCATGCCAGGTAGGTCAATTGGAGAACGGTAAGACTAGAAGCAGCAACTCAAGGTCTGAGGGCGAATTCGTACTGCTGACTGTAGAGGGCTGTGACAGCAGTAAGGTGTTTCCCTCAGACAACCAGCATCTGCAGCGATGCTGCCTTCCCACAAGGAGGGGTGGGGTTAGAAAAGGTTGACCCTAAAAATGTCACACCTCACTTTACCTCACCAATTTCCATCTCCGACGATAAGGCCCTTTGAAAAACGGAGCTAATAAATTAAAAACCTCCCACGAAAGGCCGTGTGCGACCGGACTCAAGCAGTTGTCCCTCGGGCTCTGCGGTCACGCTCCCAACATTAATCCACCTTCCTTTTCAGGTTCCTCAAGAAATATCCTTCCATTATGTTGGCAGCCGGGAAGTGACATCACTCCTCATACCCGTAACAGCAAACGAGACCAAGTTGGTCACATTGAAATCCTTCCTACACCTCCTAATACCTCTCTCATCTTTACGACTAACCCTTCTCACGTCCCTTTATGTTGGGGGCGATAGATCCCCAAACTCATATTTTTAAAATTTTATCGCATCGATCAACTTAGTGATTAAATGTTTAAATATTTGTATTGGGGTCAATTGATGAACTGATCGATTAAATGTTTGAATAGCAGTCAGTTGATGAACCTATCGATTAAATGTTTGAATAGCAGTCAGTTGATGAACCTATCGATTAAATGTGCAAATAGGTCAATTAATGAACTCATTGATTAGTGTTTAAAAATTTTCTATGACAATATAGATTGTAAATATTTGTATAAATACGCTTGAGTTGTGTGTTAACTCGACTTGTTATCTGCTGTGTGTCTGCAGAATACACTCCTACACCTTACCCAGACTTCTTGATCGAGTTAGCATAGTTGGGGGACAACGAACCAGAATAGCTATCGAGTCGCTGAGTCACTGATCCTTCGTTCGTTGAGTAAGACGCATCAGTAATAGCATTCAAGCGAATAACGAATCATAACAAATTGGCGAGGGGAATGGGACTCGAACCCACGCGGGGAAACCCCAATGGATTTCATGAAGGAACGTAGTGCCGAGACATTAGTGGGAGTTGGCATCAGTTTGATAGCTCGGACATTCTCAGGATCCGGCCTGCGGCCGTCGGCGTCGAAAATGAACCTCAAGTACTTTACCGTCTGCAAATAAAACTGGCATTTCTCTGGGCGTAACCGGAAACTTGTCACTGATACGTTGCAGTACCAATGTCGTGCGTTCTCGTAGCTGTTCTAATGTTGTCGCTACAATTAAAATGCCGTCCAAATAAGCCGCGACTCCCGAGATACCTGATAGGATAGTATCCATTGGTTGCTGGAAAATAGATGGTGCAGTTTTGACCCCGAAAAGTAGACGGTTATACTGGAACAAACGACGATGGGTATTGATAGTTAGCAGCTCTCTTGATGCTTCATCTACTTCCACTTGCAAATAAGCATCAGCTAGATCCATCATAGCGAAAAATCTTCCCCCCATTCAGCATGGTAAATAGTTCTGCGGGAACAGGCAGGGGATAATGATGTTGTTCCAGAGCTGCATTGAGACCTGTTGAAAAGTCATCACATATACGTGTCGTGACATTGGCTTTCTTAATAACCACAATAGTTGCTGCCCATGCAGAGTAAGAAACGGGAGTAATAACTCCTTATTGTTGAAGGCGGTTCAATTCTTCATCTACTGTTTGTAACGTTGCATAAGGCACAGGTCTCTTTGGGCGAAAAACAGGCTTGGCACCAGTTTTCAATCGAAGTGTCGCTTTCATGGCAGAGCAGCGACCCAATCCAGGTTGGAAAATAGTTGAAAACTGCATCATTAGGTTCCTCCTATAAGCTTCCAAGTCATGTGGTTGTTGTCGTTGTTGGGGTCGTAATACCAGGTTGCATATGGTATTCAACGGAACATCAGCTAAATTTAAGTGATCGAACCAATCTAACCCGAGCAAATTTGGATCAGCTGGTGTTATGTAGCATACCCCAACAAATGCCAAATCACGGAAAGTAATTGTACATTGCATTTGTCCTAGCAGGTGAAGGTAATTACCACACGCAGTACGAGGCTTTTGCGTTGTACGCTGCAAGTTTGGGCTGCCCATTTTGGTCCAAGTCTTACGAGAGAGGATAGTGACATCTGATGCTGTATCTATTTGCAATCTAGATGAATGCCCATTAATGTTAACAGTAATAAACTTTCTCTGACCTGGTGATGAGCTTTGACACGAAGATACTAAGCTCAATGAATAGGTGCGGGATCTAGGAAGGGTCTTTTTGGTATTTCTGGATTGATTCGGAGTCTTCTTCCTCAGACAAAACCCATCCTTATGATCAATAGCCTTACACTTCTTGCATCGATGTTGCTTAAATGGGCAGTTTCGAACGTAGTGCCATGCACCACATTGCCAGCAAAGATCAGGAGGAGTTGTTTTGGTCTGTCGTCTCGGGCTGGAGTGAGATGAACTGGATGAAGCGGGGACGTATTTGTTTTTGAAAGGTGTCTGTTGCACCGCTCGTACTTCAGATCGGTTAGACCCACCACTCTGGACCATAGAAGTGTCTCATCGCTACGTTCCTTCCTGGGACTTTTCAGCTATTACTCAGCGTTCGTTCCATCGGTGCATGATATTCGCGCTTCACTGAATAGCTTACTGCATAAGAACAGCTCTTGGAACTGAACTAAACAGTGTGACGCTGCCTTTTGTAGACTGAAGTCAATTATTAGTTCAGAATTGCTGTTGACACACTACGAATCAGCCATGCCGATCATCGTAGCTGCAGACGCTTCAGCGAATGGCCTAGGCGCTGTTATCTCCCGTCAGTTTCCGGATGCGTCGGAAAAAGCCGTTATGCATGCAACCCGCACACTAACCCCAGCAGAAAAAAAATACAGCCAGATAGAAAAAGAAGCGCTTGTGCTTGTGTTTGCTGTGCGCCGTTTCCTTAAGTTCCTGTACGGTCGGAGATTCACACTTCTCACAGATCACAAGCCTTACTCGCAATTTTCGGGTCGAAATCTGGCATTCCAGCTCATTTTGCAAATCGTCTTGGGGTATGACTTCGACATCCAGTACCGACGCACTCAACAATTCGGTCAGGCGGAAGCCTTATCACGGCTCATTAGTGACCATTTGGCGGTTGAGGAAAACACGGTAATCGCATCTCTGCTAGCGGAAGATCACGCCGAATGTTATCTGACGACCGCAATACGAACTTTGCCGGTATCTGCAACGGACATACAAAATGCTTCTAAGAGCGATTCCGTCTAAGAAGTTTGGTGGTGATATAAAACAGCTGTATCAGCGGCGGGATTCTCTATGCATTGTAAACGACTGCTTGATGTTTGGAGAGAGAGTGGTTGTGCCAGAATCCCTTCGTGCAAAAGTGCTGAAACAGTTCCACCTTGGTCATCCGGGGGTTAGATGAATGAAATCCATAGCCAGGGGTCATGCGTATTGGCCGCTAATGGATCAACACATAACAGAATTGGTTGGAAAATGTATGCAGTGTCAGCAAGCAGCAAAAGTGAACGCCAAAGTTCCACCAGTTTCATGGCCACAACCTGATCATCCTTGGTCCAGGATACACGTCGACTTTGCAGGCCCGATTAACGGAACCATGTGTCTAGTTGTAGTCGACGCCCTTTCGAAATGGCCTGAAATCAACCCTATCATACCACCAACGACGACTAAAACAATACAAATCCTCACAGAAATTTTCTCCCGAAATGGTATACCAGATGCCATTGTATCTGACAACGGTTCACAATTCACCTCCAGCCAATTCCAGTCATTTTGTCAACGACTAGCCATAAAGCACTTACGCTCGCCACCATACCACCCGCAGTCGAATGGGCAAGCAGAAAGGTTTGTGGATACGTTTAAAAGAGCCTTGGCTAAGACAAAAGGGAAGGGCACGCAAGCAGACGCGTTACAAAATTTCTTATACGTGTATCGAACAACACCAAATGAGACGTTGCCGGAGCGAAAGTCCCCAGCAGAGATCCTAATGGGAAGAAGACTGAAGACGATCCACAGCCTGATGCATCCAAGTAATGCACCGACACTAGAACGTACAAAGTTTGAAAAGCGATCCACGTACGAAGTGGGATGTCCTGTGTTTGCTCGTGATTACAGACCGACCCATAGTCCATGGACAGAAGCGCGAGTGGTCAGGAGAGTTGACCGAGTCATGTACGAAGTTGAGGTAGGCAGTGACAGGTGACAACGCCATCGGAATCAGTTACGCAAACGGTTAGCCCCAGACCGCCCATCAACCGAAGCAAATATTCCTCTTGACATCCTGCCAGACATATTCAACTTACCGGCAACCCCACCACAAAAAAACCTCAACAACAAGCTGAAACACATCCCAGACGGTGGCCTATCCGAGAACGGCGAGCTACAGTCAAGATTCAGGTTGACCCCAGGAAAGCCCGCTATTAAAAAGGGAGGAGTGTTGGGGACGATAGATCCCCAAACTCATATTTTTAAAATTGTATCGCATCGATCAACTTAGTGATTAAATGTTTAAATATTTGTATTGGGGTCAATTGATGAACTGATCGATTAAATGTTTGAATAGCAGTCAGTTGATGAACCTATCGATTAAATGTTTGAATAGCAGTCAGTTGATGAACCTATCGATTAAATGTGCAAATAGGTCAATTAATGAACTCATTGATTAGTGTTTAAAAATTTTCTATGACAATATAGATTGTAAATATTTGTATAAATACGCTTGAGTTGTGTGTTAACTCGACTTGTTATCTGCTGTGTGTCTGCAGAATACACTCCTACACCTTACCCAGACTTCTTGATCGAGTTAGCATAGTTGGGGGACAACGAACCAGAATAGCTATCGAGTCGCTGAGTCACTGATCCTTCGTTCGTTGAGTAAGACGCATCAGTAATAGCATTCAAGCGAATAACGAATCATAACACTTTATCACCTCTCACCGCTAGGGCAAACGACACGAGTCCTAGGGCAGAACTATCTATCTTAGACGGGATCTCAGTAGACAATCGTTTGTGCGCAGTCTGACTGAACAGAACAGTAAAGACTCGGGAAGATAGGGACACTCGTCGTTGCCTCTGCCTATCCTCCCACTGACTGCAGCTCAGATGATGTTAAAGATGAATTTTACAGAAAGCTTTCCGACTTTCTCCGAAAAGCTAGGCGCTGTGATGTAGTAAAAGTGGCTGGTGACTTTAATGCTCAAATTATATTTATTTATTTATTTGAACACATTATTGATACCACCGTGCCCCAATTATATATGCGCCACACAAAACAATGATAATTTAAACAGAAGGGAAAAGGGTAAGAAGCGTAAAAAAAGAACAATAACGAAGAGATTGGTGTAAGTTAGTGTAATAATAATAATAGTAATAATGGAGGAACGGGAAGGTACAATCAGAAGAAATCTTTCAGTTAAGGAAGAAGCAACCACTTTTTATGAAGAAAGTAAAAGAAGGTTACAGCAGGATCGCCACTGCCTTCTGTTCTGAGCCATATCTGATAACGTCTCTATCCACTGTGTTGCACCATCTCTCGGACCCCAACCAGGGAGTCGTGAAGGACCATCAGAAGCCAGCCCTTTGCAGTTTTCTTTCATACCACGACACCATGTCATACACTGACTACCTCTCCGCTTCTTCCAACCAGTCCCGGCGTCGGCGAATAATGCACGACGTTGAATTCTCTGGGATGACATTCGTAGAACATGTCCAAGCCACCGAAGTCTATGTTTCAAGATGGTGACACCAATTGAATTATCGCCTCTGTGCCCGAACACACTATGCCGAACCTCTGCATTACTAACATGGTGTTGCCACTGGATGTCAGCAATCCGTCGGAGACAGCGATGATCGAACACAGAGAGTCGTTTTACATCCTCAACTCGGAGAGGTCAGGTTTCACAAGCATAGAGCAAAACTACTCTCACCAACGCGTTGTAGGTCCGACCTTTCACAGCCAGACTAACATCACGAAAGCGCCAGAGATGGCCCAAATTGGCGCGTATTTGTCTGCGTCTTACAGGACGCAGGAAAGACGCTGCAAGTAAACTTCTTAGAGCCCTACTTAATGATAGTCAGGCTATGAGTATATTTCAGGAACAACTAGGAAAACAGTTAGGCAGCCATGTAGGCGATGCCCAACTTGAGGCAGCATGGAATGATATCCGAGAAGCTGTGGAGAATGCAGTGATATCTGCTAGTACGGTAAACCACAAGGTTAGGGAGCAACGCTGGATCTCAGCAGCATCTACCGCACTGATAGATGCTCGAAAACTCATTCCATCTGGATCTGGTTCTATGGCAGTGTTTGTCACTGAAAGGAGTACCAAAGAAGTACATTAACCTTATAAAGGCTCTCTACTCGAAAACAACTGGTAGAGTGAGAGCTTATGGCTAACTGTCATCAGAATTGATTACCTCAAGTGGTGTTCGTCAGGGCTGTCCACTCTCTCCATTCTTGTTCAACTTTGTGGTCGACGTACTTTTAGAGATAACACTCTCCTCATCTAAATTTCCAGGGGTTGAACTTCCATCGGGAGATTCACTTGTTGACTTAAAATCTGCTGATGACATAGTTTTATTTGGTGAAGACGCTGACAAAATGCAGAGTCTTCTGACCACGCTAAGCAACAATGCAAGCATGTTCGGGATGCGATTCTCTCCCTCAAAATGCAAAATGTTGCTTCAGGATTGGGTTACATCGACACCTGAACTAGTGATAGGGAGTGAAGTAGTTGAGTGTGTCGATCGCTTCACTTATCTTGGAAGTCTCATCAGCCCTTGTGGTCTGGTGTGTGACGAAATCTCAGCACGGATACAGAAGGCTCGACTAGCTTTTGCCAACTTGCGTCATTTATGGCGTAGGCGAGATATCCGTCTATCAACCAAAGGACGGGTTTACTGCGCAGCAGTACGTCCCGTCCTACTTTATGGCAGTGAAACATGGCCGGTAAGAGTAGAGGATATTCGTAGGTTACTAGTATTCGATCATAGGTGTCTTCGAAATATTGCTCGTATATCCTGGGACCATCGAGTAAGTAATGCAGTTGTTAGGAAACGGGTACTAGGTAAGGATGGCAAATCCATTGATGAAATGGTGAAACTTCATCAGTTGCGATGGCTGGGACACGTGTTACGTATGCCCAACCACCGACTGCCCCGACGTGCGATGTTTTATGGTGTAGGAGAAGGTTGGTAAAAAGCTAGGGGCGACCAGACTAAAACATGGCACAAGTCCATGAAGTCGCTGACAAGTGGTCTGAGTCATGTTGGTAGGTATAGACTACCTGGTTTGGATCCGCGAGATGATAGAAACCGATGGTTAGAGACCCTGAACGACATGGCTCAAAATCGTTTACAATGGCGCAGGTGCATCCATTCTTTGTGTTCTCCCAAATTCTAATCTCCTGAATCCGTCTTGTCTCTTTTTTTTTCTTCCCAAATTTATTTCACTGGATTATACTCCTTGAGTAACAAACCCTAATGTTTCCGATTACTACTTATATTCTTACCACCTCTACCACTACGGGATTTGAATCGACAACTGCATCTCTGTGCTAATGTGATATGGCGACTCGAACTGATGTACGTACGTACGAAGTTCTACGTTGTTACTGACTGACTGACTCGGACAAAACTGATACTAGTTTCCTCGATTATGACTGGCTCCTTAGTAAGCAACAACACACCAAGATGATTTCGTAATCATTACACTAATATTATTCATTTTAGCAATTATCGTTGTAAATGGCCATTTTCATCTAATTTGCAATAAAACGGTACACTTGTTTTTTTTCTTTTTGCGCTACTATGTTTAAAGATGTATAAACAAGAAATATAATGTTATTTATTTTATTCAGGTTGTGTATACAGGATCTCTGTACATATAAATCCTAATATTTTATCAAATCTTATATTGGATCAAGTGACAAGGGAATCAAGTAAACTATCTTCTCGCAATGATGTTGAACATGCAGTTCCTGATCATGTAAATTTGCAGATGCTTACCACTGACACAAATGGACTACATTTCTACATAATTCGTCACCTTTGTACTTCTTTGGTATGTTTGATTCTAAAGCATTTCTTGTTTAAATATAACATTGAGTGTGTCCAAGATCTGTACTTCAACAGTATGCCTATTTCATGTAACTAATATGTTATCCATTCATTTTCTATACAGCGACTCATCGCTGTTATGCTTGCTGTCCATATTCCCTTCTATAGACGTCAGTTAAAATCGGTCCCAATGGACGGGTCAGAGCAATATGGTCCGTACGATAGATCATTTGGTTTTAAATAGTGTGTTATCTTACTGACCGACCTACCCTTCAACGCTTCAAAAATATTTACTTTTCAGTTTGTTAATATAACTATCAAATCCACTGAACGAGTATAAAGAAAGGTTTACGACATTAGTCGGAATTTTTTCAGACCTACTCAATCATTGGCGTTTTCTGCAAGTTCACCTATTTCAACTACTTTTTCCTTTACTATACAATGTGTCGTAATTTCAACATTATGCTCTCTCATTATGTTAAAAGAGTTGTAAAAAGAAAGCATACCGAAAACTTATGTTTCTATATAAGTTCTCTAATATTTAATACCACATAATTCTGATTAGCTTCGTCTTATTGGATAATGTAAACCAAATAATGTAAGTACAAAAGTATGAATCCAATAGGTATTTTCATGATTTGCTGAAGCATAGTTTGACATAGTTCCCAAATGACTGCTGTTTTAGTCTTTTACGAATGGTTCAGAATTTTATGAACTAATTGGTACATAGTAGTAATTCTCCTATTTCATTACTCGAAATTCTTTTTTCTCTCTCCGTTTATCCTATAGATTACTGTTAATGTCCAAACTCCTGATATTTACCTGCCTACTTTACGATTAATCGTATTTCCTGTTGGTCATCCAGAAAATATTGTTGCTAAACATGACTTCGGTATAGATTCTTCATTATTCAGTTTGTCCGGATCAAAACTTATTCCAATGATTGGGTGTGTTAACAAATGATATTTGCATATCCATCCACTTTATCTTAAACTTTTGTGCGTATCAATGTTACAATACAATCTCCTCTTATTGTTTCATACTTAGCTAGAGCAATCATTAAAAGACATATTTCTTGTAAATTAATACATATTTGCGTGTGCTCCAAATAAACTCCATGCTTCTTATATTCGTTTCAGTCTAACAGTGTTTAGTAGGTACAGGAACTTAATACGTGCTGTAAAAAAAACTTACAGAATGCATCTACGTTATTTTGACTTATTTTTGATCTCCACCCTGACTTAAGTGATGTGACATGGACGTATTCAGATCTATGTTTTCTTTCTATTGACTAATAAGCATTTTTACTTTGTTACGTTATACTATTTAGACCTATTTATTTATTTTAACACAGATGTTCATGCAAGGAGGCATCAAATACATATGCGCCACACAAATCTCATTTGATTTGTGTGAGGGCTGTGATCCTACCGGGGTGCCCAGACCGAAGCAGGTGGTTTACTTAGGAAGCCACACCCGAGCCTTTGACCTAAAGGTCTGACCCGCGAGACAGTGGGGCATCGTGAGGAGGTGCAGTTCCATGGTAGTCGGTGACCATCGATTGGTTCATACGCCATTTGTTCCTTCAGGATACTGGAGCCCATGTGCACCATTGGTTTGGGATCCTGTCAAAGCGCCGGATATTCTATTTTCGTCCTCTCATTTTCGTAAACAACAGTAATGCCACGAGAAGGCAGTGAGTAGGACTTCCCTGGTATAGGCGTGTGGGAGCATTTTGACAGATAGAGCGTACTCTCCCCACTCTCGGCCGTACCAGGACATTTGGAGGCATTTAAACTCAAATATATTTAATTTGTTTGTGCCGTCAAAACATGGCTTATATTGAATCAAGAAAAGTCAAAATGTCTTATTTTCTACTCATTGGAATTTTACATATATATCATTATTTTTATTATTAACAATCTACTTAATCTTCAGTTTATTTAAAATTATCAGGTCATACCTTGATAATCATACCAACATGATTACAGTCATCCTTCTAACTAGTTTCTTCATTCATTGTAGGAAATGTTACCTTACAAAGTCATTATTATATACTACCCCATACACTGTGACTACTTCTGCTACTATGACATGTTTTAATATCGTGTGATAACGTGAACCGATTCACATGTGTACTAGACTCTACTTTACATAAAACTGATTCACTAAAAGAAGTATGTATCAATTAGTGTAATTGCATTCAAAGAATTAATTAGTTATACTTTTTTTTGAATTGATTTTTCCTCACATTAAATCACCATCATTTACAACCAGTTAAGTAATGGTTTCATTAATGCCTGAATAGTAACGTCTTCTCTCTTTTTTTTTTTTAAAAAAAAATTTATTTTATAGACGAGAACATGTGATACGTTTAATATCAGATCTTGAACCTAAATTTTATATCAATGCTAATGCACAAAATATTATTTTCAAACCAAAATGGAATGTTAGTGAACATTTCAATTTTCAATTTCATCCTAAACTACGTACTACACTAAGTGATTAGGTATGTATTGTTATTCATAGTTTGATTGTTTATTTTTTTTTAAAATGAATTTTTAGAAGGATATTGCTTCATCTAAAATTTATTCTTTTTATTTCAAAAAGTACATAAATGTAAATGGAATGTTGTTTGTGGATCGTCTTTGAATGTAATTAATGAAGATATATGTATATCATACTATAGTCAATAATCTTTTATTCAATTCCTCTAGATAAAAAGAAATTCTAAATTACAATAATGTTCAATGTTTTAGGAATTATTTCTGTTAAGACATGACGTTGTATGTGATTAGTACATCTTATTGAAGTATTTGTTTTGAAAAAAAAATTTATAACTGTTTCTTCACCATAAAGCATTATACATGTTCTACAATATTTGTTTCACATTTTCTTAAACTTATTATACGTCTCAAACAATACAAATAAAAGTTGTAAAGAACTGCACATAATGTTTGTTGTTGTTGATCGGCGGTTTTCATCTATAATTTTCGATACTGCGTTTATTATTAATACACAGCTATTTAATTAGTGACAGATATAAAGAATGTGATTTAAGGTTTATGAAGGTAGTATCATTCAAACACTAAACAACGCTCCGGTTTGTATGTGTTTTTTTTTAAGGGGAATATATTACAATTCCCATAAAATCGTTTTTGAAACTTTAAAGCATTACATAGCAGATCATGTTACTAATACATGGTTACTACTGTTTAAATCATTGACAAAATAAAGTACATTTCCAACGATCAATATTAGTTTGTTTGTTTGTTTTCCATTGCAAATTCTATGTTATTTTCACGATATCTTCAATAATGGATTGTCTTATCCATCTACTTGTCGATTTATGTCTTGTATTTGTATGTTTCTTACTTTGTGCTTAATAAATTGTTCTTTTTTTTCTGTATAATCTAGTATTATTTTCTTCTGACACAATATACGTGTGTACAAATATATGAAACTTGTTTTATTTTATTAAATAATAATTTATAACTGTCTAGTTGTTCCTTATTATTGTAAAGTGTATGCGGTAAATATACGCATGTGTATAGTTTTCTTACGTCCATTCATTTTTTTTTCTCCTTTTAACTTAAGTGAATTAACTACTTGTGTTTTATTGTTCAAGTTATATTGTTTACCACAAGTCTACTTATCAAACATAACTCCATAGTCTATTATATTCATTAAGTTCGAATAATGCTATGATTGAAGCGGTTTATCTGGTTTTTTGTGTGTTAGAAGCAGTTTCTTTCTTATTATAAATAAATTAATGAAGGAGGAAATATCTTGCCGAGGTTGTTTTATATACTAAAATGTTTTTGTCTACAAATCGAATCCTAGTGAAATTGGGTGTTCTCTTAAAATAATTTTTAATTATTTTGACACTTAATCCAATAAAAATAAACAATTACAGCAAATTTTATACAGCCACTGAGTAAATTATACAAAAATAACAAAATGAAATGACCCATGTACTTGATCTATGAGTAATTATTGTTTTAATCATGCAAATAATCGGTAATGTAATTCTGTTGAACAGACTTACTGTACTGCAGGGTTTAGTCGTGTAGCTTTCATCATTTTTCTGAATGACATCCTCAGCACCAAACTACAGGTAAAAGTCTTCCATCAAAATCAGCCACCTGAGCTGCAAAGCTTCTCCATCATCTCAAGACTTACTGTACTTTAGTAGACACTACTTAAGTTATCGACAAGTAGATGATCGTTTCAATTAGCAATAAACATAACCTCAACTATTGTCAAGGTGCACCTGTTCCTTGTCTATTTACTTTAAAGTTAATCGTCGCACGTACAAACCAAAATTCTTGCAATAGATTACGTAATAATCCGACCTAATAGTTAGACCGTTAACCTTTGAACTAGCAAGTTCAAACCCCGTTCGACATCAGTCTGAGAAAACTGATAATATCACCAGGTCACAGACATAGAGTGTGGTTCAAAATCAAGTGAACTAATCCGTATCTGGTGGGTTTTAGACGGTTAGTAACATCTCTATTTTTATCAGAATAAATACACAGAGACCTTTGTCTTGAGTACGGTGATCTTGAACAATAAAAGGTGATAAGCTGCGTAAATAACTAATTTATTTAGTAGAATAACAGTAAGTTTCAACAAAGTTATCTCAGATGATCTAGCTGAAGGCATCGTAGAATATAGTCTGTAGTCTGACTTAGTTATTACAACCAATCTTTTAACACTAGATATACGAAGTAGGACATTCCATTCCTCAGCGAGTGTTTTCTGATTTCGTAAAAATCATAACTGACTTGAGTTAAAAAATCTTACTAAGATTTGCTGAACGCGTATATTCAGACCATGTGACATACCAGAGATACTGTTACTTGTGTTGCTCGACTGCAGGAAACTACTATTCACATACCCAAAATAATTAAAATCTAACATTTTTTCATCAACAAAAAATTTGAAACGCCTCATGTATAACTAGTAAATTTCCAATGAATATTTGATTCAATTATCCTTCTGAAACTACTTACTCTTTTTCCCGGATCGTAAGATCACATGGCAAGAAATTATTCGAAGGTAACGTTCGTCATATAATCTTGTGATGTGATTATGCGAATGAATTCCTGAGTAGTCGATAAAAAAACCGCATTTATATTAATTCCCCTGCTGTGTATTATAACCATCGAGTTCTTCGGTTTTTCCCCGGATTTCGATCATTTAAATTTTCTCCTTATGATACGACAGGGTAGTCAAAATATGAGTTACAAAACTAAACGATAATATTCCAAAGAGACAATTGTAAGAAGAATTGTTAAGTTCATTGATGAATGAGCAAAATGAGGACTCAATGTACGACAATTTTATTGAAGAAGACACGATGAAGATAGATTTATTTCAGTTCAAATTGTTTGTCTAACTTAGGTAAAATACCTAGTGACCCTAATTATTAGCCATGTTTGATAACGCTCCAGCTACTGATTTGTATAACCTTTAGGACTACATCTGATTAATTGTAATGACTGCCTTTCAAACCTCATTCTGGCTTTGGCATGACGAACATAATCAATACCCAACTTCAGTGAGTAATACCTGTTACACTGTCGTCAATGCTTCCAGACAACCATTGTGCGACCACAGAATAACGTGAATATGATTATCACTAATGAAGAAAATGAACTACTTTACGTGCTGCTCGTAAAACTATCCAGTCACACCGCTAGTATACCCATGGAAATCTGGAGACTTAGATTCTAAACGCCATAAACAAACATGTTGATAAATAATAAAGTGCAGCTCATCTTGAATACCGAGTTATTTACTTTGATGTAAACGACAGGTCGAATCGCTAAAACAGTAGATATGATGGTAGTCTAAATCCTTGTTTCTGATACCCCTCAATGTCAATTTGTACATAAACAAAAAGATGTTGAAAAATGACATTTATTCTATCAAAATTAGATTGTAAATTGATTTAACCATTTTCTAAATCGGTGGCTTCAATGAATAAACAACTCCGCCTGGAGTCCCTCTGGAAGGCTACTGCCGGTCCCAAGCTCGGATAAAGGAGGAGGGTTGGGCATGGGTTAGCGTCCCCATCCCGTAGAAAACTAACTCGCTAAAAAACGCTAACCAGAAAAATTATTCCAATGAATAAACAGCCGTTCCCATACTAAATGTTCCGATCACTTCAAATGTGCAGAATAGCATTTTATACATTGAGAAGCGCGATGTAGTTCACACATATGTTGAGAATAGTATATCATTCATTGTCACATAAATTTAAAAAGTTTTCAAACCAAAGACATTTTTACCAAAGTGGACATAAGTAATATTTTGTCGACTACATATAGCAATTATAATTTAGTAATGTATCACAGAGAAATACGTTTTTACATGTGACTCTAAAATATTTCTCCTATCAGGAGTAATCATCAATAACGTTACCTATCTTTAGAAAAGACTAACTTATTCATACAATTAGAGTACACATTTCTCTCAATTTCATTGAATAGGTAAACACAACTAATTATGAAATAAACACCTCCAATATCAGAATACATCACTGGATTTATCATCAATCATTTCAAATAATAACCAAAGTGATTACAATTTTGACAATCACAAAAAATGAAAAACAAATGATTTTTCATAGTCTCTCATTGATTACTCTGTATAAAAATAGAATAAGATAGCACACCACACAATGGATCCAAGTAAATATCAATCGATTCGAATTGATTGATTTACAATTTTGTGAGTGATCAAATAAGGACTATTCAACACCATAACGAATTCGAGAATTGAAACAGAAGTAATAAGAGTACAATTTGCCAACATGTTATGACAAGCTCGTATCACAGAATAAAATCCCACAAAACTGGTGAACTAACTGTCACAATTCGGAGAGTGAAATATATGACACTACATTCATTCTGCTGACAATGGAATAATCAGGTGAGTTATGTGAAAAGCATTCTTGTGAGAAGACTTTAGGAAAGGATGTTGGGAGTGTCGCAATTCCTGATTTCAATTGAACAGATCAGTCACATGTGGTACATATAAGTAACATCCACACTTGAGTGACTTTCAAATCTGAAAATACTACATTACTCAATAAATAACCAAGTCGGCCTGCTTTGAATATCTGGGCTACGTGTTCCCACCATCTGGATATTTTAACAAGTTATCTGTTTCCTCATTTGTTTTAACACATCATTATGCTTATTATTCGCATAAACTATCCAGGTGCGTTTGTGAAAACTTTACGACATTTCGATATACTATTTTCAAAAAGCCCAACCAATGACACTTTGGTTTCTGTCAATATGCATGGAAAAGAATATACATTAATTAGATGTCAATTCCTGAACTGCAAACATTTAACTAGCGGGCACCTAATATTTAACGCAAGGGTCGGTCAAGAAATAAGTTTAAAAAAAACTAGTTGAATTACTTTGCTTTGAGAATTCTGTTTTGTACCAAAAATATAATATTAAATAAAGTCACTAATTATGGCGAGACTCTAATTTATGTACGACCTTCGAGCGAATCTTATGTGACCTTGAGAAATAGCCTACCGGCAAACAGTCAGTATAGAGTAAAAATATATTATACAAAACCAAAGAAATAAAGTGGATACACTTCTTATACGTGGTTCAAAAACTTTTCAAGGTTGGAAAAAGGTTCTAAAGTCGTAATGCATGCAGTAGAGGAAATCATCCATACGGCTACAGAATAGTCGGCCTCTGGAGTCAACAAATGTCTCAAATACTCTTTCCGCCTCGACTACATATCTTCAATATTGTTTATGTGCACTACGGTTGTTGAGTGTACAAAATGCTACCTGTGGATAACGACATGATGCACATAGACAAGCCTATGTAAGAGTATGTATGCTCTCCAAACATCCGTATATATTGTAGTGCCTGGCTGCATCCAGGGTAACTGGTGCTTTTATTATCCAGTTCGCAATAATTTTCGTAATTTGCCTTAGTTAGGAATTATATATGGGGTTTTCATCGCGAACTGACATCAGCTATAATGCCAGAAATCTATTTAGCCAAATGGATGAAAGGCTTTTGTGTTAAAATCCGAGATCTATTATCTCATACCTGATTGATTCGTCCACAAATTGTAGTCTCGCCGTCCTATTTGTTATAGCCGCTCAATTATCACGTTTTGTACAAAATTCCCTGTGAACTGATCGTATGTCGGCATCAAGCACTGAAGTTGGCGCCGTAACCTTGAAATCTCTAAAACGCTTCTGATTGGCTAGTCCATAAATTAGAGTATCGCCGAATAATCTAATTTTGTCATAAAAAATTCCATTGAAACAGATTTGAATCTTTATCCTCTAACATATGAACTTAACAATACAAAGGTTTTCATTTCGAGTAACATTGAATCATGTTTGTTTGGTGAAAATTTTATGCAGTCCCAGTGCATTCTTCACTTAAAATATCAATTTTTATGCACTAGCTGTTCTCTTTCTGATATTCTTCATTTCAAAGGCTTCGTTAAAAGAAAATATGATAGTAGTGTTCATTGGTGAACGTGTCATTAAAGACCATATCACCTAAGCAAATTGAACCATACTTTCATCTGTTCTATTTTTAAATGCAAATGGTGTTCTTTACCAAATTAAACAAGTGATTTATGACGAGTAAAATCCATGGCATTGAAAAACTAACTGTATTCGAACACTAATAATTGTCACTAAATAGATTCATGCAAGCGAATGTTCAATCTCATCCAAAATATATTTGTATTCAAATAATATATCCACTAATTATGTTAGCTTGGAGTTATAGATCACCAACGTAGATGATCTATGTCGAATGATTAGAGGTCTACTCGAGTTAGACAGGAATGGTTTTACGAACCAGCTAACTTCGAATTCACACCTCGCGATCAATATCTAACGTGTATTACCCCT